AGAACACTGGGTAATTCCGGATGGTTGGATATTATCCGTAGTGACCGAACCTGACCAAAGCGAGAACGGTTTCAGTCTATTCACAGCAAAAGTTGAAATTCGTAGGAAATACTTTCGTAGCTACAGTAGTGATGCTGTTCGTCCTTCGTAAGGTGAAATTCGCATCGAGCATTCGTCTTTCGATGTCGAAGTAGTGCTTACAAAACAACGACTAATCACTAAGGAAACATGATTTGAGTTGACGGCTTAGCTGACCTATGATTGGGCAGAAACAGTCCGGCTTCCACAGAGAAAGAACACTGGGTAATCCCGGATGGTTGGATATTATCCGTAGTGACCGAAGCAAGATCGGCCAAAGTGTACCTTCTTGACATACAAGGCAAGCTCGACATGCGAATTGGTAGTGATTTTTGGCGTCCATTTGTAAGGTGTATGAACAGGCGTCAGCTACAAAGTTTGACCGTAAAAGAGGTAGAAGTCTCGTTTTTCAAGTCTCGGTTGAAGTAGTAGCTCATGTTTGGCGGTGAAATTTTGAATGCCTCTAAAACTACAATAGCCAAGCGCATGCTTTAGTAAGCGAGGTTGTTATTGAAGGGTCGATGCAATACTGGAGCATGCAACGAAGTCCGATCTGCGTGTCTTCACCTACTATTCACTATTCGTCCATTTCACCTACTACGTTTATATTTCCTACGAATTTCAACTTTTGCTGTGAATAGACTGAAACTCTTGGTATTCGGTAGTCGACGTGGCCGAACAGCTGTAGTATTACTGTTAATGGCACCAACTTTAGGGCTACAGTACAAGGCAGCTCGACACTTTGGCCGATCTTGCTTCGGTCACTACGGATAATATCCAACCATCCGGGATTACCCAGTGTTCTTTCTCTGTGGAAGCCGGACTGTTTCTGCCCAATCATAGGTCAGCTAAGCCGTCAACTCAAATCATGTTTCCTTAGTGATTAGTCGTTGTTTTGTAAGCACTACTTCGACATCGAAAGACGAATGCTCGATGCGAATTTCACCTTACGAAGGACGAACAGCATCACTACTGTAGCTACGAAAGTATTTCCTACGAATTTCAACTTTTGCTGTGAATAGACTGAAACTGGTCAAGATCATAGGTCAGCTAAGTCGCCAAAAATCACTACCAATTCGCATGTCGAGCTGCCTTGTACTGTAGCCCTAAATATTTGGTGCCATTAACAGTAATACTACAGCTGTTCGGCCACGTCGACTACCGAATACCAAGAGTTTCAGTCGATTCACAGCAAAAGTTGATATTCGTAGGAAATATAAACGTAGTAGGTGAAATGGACAGGTGAAGACACGCAGATCGGACTTCGTTGCATGCTCCAGTATTGCATCGACCCTTCAATAACAACCTCGCTTACTAAAGCATGCGCTTGGCTATTGTAGTTTTAGAGGCATTCAAAATTTCACCGCCAAACATGAGCTACTACTTCAACCAGCTAATCACCCGCACTCGAGATCTCCACGAAACTCACCACTGCTCAGTCTGGACAGAATCAAGCGCACTCAGCCAACTAACGTGACGATCACCCGCACTTCGGTCGTGGAGATCTCGAGTGCGGGTGATTAGCTGAAGCTAAGTGCGCCTGATCGAGAACTCCTCGTTCCAACTGTCGCTCGACTCCGCAATAGATTCTGCAGCCAAAGACTCACCAGACTCAGAGCTGGAACCATCACTCGAGTTAGCCTCTGCATCCAGCATTGAGAACTTCACGCGGTAGCTCAGATACTGCTGATGGTGTCGTTGGCATTTGTAAGCGTCTTGGCACTACGTTCAGAGTCAAGGCTGCCACAGTGGATCTTCTTGCGCACAAGGGACGTCTGGTGACTGGCTCTGCTTCTCAGCCTGGCGATGTCGGCATACAATCCGGCCCTGGAGTGCGCGATGGGTTTGTCTATGAGTGCGAACTAGCCGTCGAGTCTCCATCAGTGTATCGCGTTGTGAAGTACGTCTACAGGCCGGACAAGCGCTATGCTAACTCGAAGCGAGTGTTCGAGGCAGTAGTCCTCAACGCATGCGGCAAGAGCGGTTACGACCTGTCAGTCAGACGCTATGTCACAGAGATGTCGTTCGTGCTGCGCTCCATGTTGTACGACTGGGCTAAGAATCGACAGAGACGTGGAAGGCTGATAATCGACGTCGGCACGGGCAGATGTCAGTCTCGCAACTACTTAGACGACATGAGCGTGAGTCTTCTGCTCTGTGATCCGGAGTTGTCTCACGTTAGCAGCCTCAATCGTGGCAAGATCCGAGATGCAACCGACATGGACCCAGACTCTCGAGTTACATTGCTGAAGAGGCTGAACACTGGTGGCATCCGTACCGCGATCTTCCGCGGCAAGGTCGAAGACTTCTTCAGCAGCAAAGCAGTCGTCAACTACGTAGTTGAGAATCAAGTGCCGCTGGT